TGACAGGGGGCGGTGCCTAACTTCCCTATCGGCCCTACTCTGTGCGTGGCAGGGGGGAGCTCCCCAACCCCCTGATGGGCCCTGCTCTGTGCGTGACGGGGGGGGGGCAGTGCCCCAACCCCCTGATTGGCCCTGCTCTGTGCATCACAGGGGGTGGCGCCGCAACCTCCCCATTGACCCTGCCTTTTTTTTTTGTTTGTTTTTGTTTTTGTTTTTTTTTGTTTTGTTTTGTTTTTGTTTTAAATATATTTTATTGATTTTTTACAGAGAGGAAGGGAGAGGGATAGAGAGTTAGAAACATCGATGAGAGAGAAACATCGATCAGCTGCCTCCTGCACACCTCCTACTGGGGATGTGCATGCAACCAAGGTACATGCCCTTGACCGGAATTGAACCTGGGACCTTTCAGTCCGCAGGCCAACGCTCTATCCACTGAGCCAAACTGGTTAGGGCAGACCCTGCCTTGAGTGTGATAGGGGGTGGTGCCCCAACCCCCCAATCAGCCTTACCCTGAGCGTGACTGAGGGTGGCATCGCAACCTCCCAATCAGCCCTGCTCTGAGCCCGACCAGGGGCTGCACCTAGGGATTGGGCCTGCCCTCTGCCACCCAGGAGCAGGCCTAAGCCAGCAGGTCGTTATCTCCTGAGGGGTCCCAGACTGCGAGAGGGCACAGGCCGGGTTGAGGGACCCCCCCTTCCCCCCGGAGTGCACAAATTTTTGTGCACCGGGCCTCTAGTATATATATAAAAGTCCAGTGACCAGAATGGCGGAACGACCGGTGGCTGTGATGTGCACTGCAGCAGCCAACCAGCCTGATCTGGGTCCTGATCAGCCCCCCAAACACAATTGGGAGCGGGGCCAGCTGCCAATCGCCTGCAGCCCCCATTGGGGTGGGCTAGCTGGACCCCACCTGTGTGTGAATTCGTGCACCTGGCCTCTAGTGAATAATAAGCAGGAAGTTTTACTTATTTGGGGTAGTTGACTAAAATATAATGTGGCTATACAAGAGGGGTCTGGAAAAAGTACAGAACCACCTGATACCTAAAAACGTTTGTTACATCATCTCTAAGGCAGGCATAGTCATAACTGAGAGGTGCTTATCATCTTCTGGCATGATAGTCTTTCCAACTTTTGAATTTCTTCTCTAAAGTTATTTTAATATACATGATTAATCAGATTTTGCTTAGTCCTGAAAACTTTCACATTGTTTTATGTGTGCGCACAAACACAGACATTTCTTGTAAGTTTCTGCACTTCAGAACCTCTTTACACGTCTTTTGAAAGTCATATGTGAGATTTTTATACTCTTAGGTCTGGCTTGTAGATATAAAACATACTTCATATTTTATTTTTGTTTGCTTTACAATTTAAGATTATTCTAGCCTTCTTTGTTACTTTGTTCTCTTACTTCCCTGACCTATTAGTGCTTACTGGATTTTCTGCTGCTTGGTCAGTTTGGAAAATAGAGTTTTTGCACTTTTAAATGTATTTGTGTCATTGCTGGTTGAACATATTTACTCTAGTAGTTAAAATGTGTTTACTTACTTTTTCTTCACTCCCTTGCATTCTATTAGCATAACTAATTGCTAATCAGAATAATTTAGTAACCTTCCCTCCTTACTCTACCCCCCCTCCCCCAAAAAAACAACCAATGTTGTCTCGTGGTAATATGGTCTGAGGTGATGATCTCTCTAAAAAATTTTTTAAATTGAAAGGTAGGAACTAGCAGAAATCTAATGAATTTTTTCTTAACGACTTTATTTGATGCAAGTAAAATAATTCCTACTACTGTAGGCTCTGTAAAAGATGATTAACTTGATTAAAAGTAT